AATATATATATGTAAAATGACTTTGTGAATTTGCTGTAGAAATAGGCAGGGACTTAGACAGTAGTGTAAAATCATTTTGAAGTAGTTTTTTTTGTTTCTGTCTTGGTGGGCATGGGGTATAGTAGAGCCTTGGCTTAGCCTACCAGAGTAAAATAGATTTGGGAGCAGGTCCCAGTCACTTGCTGCTGATAGCAGTCATTAGACGCATCTGATATGGAAGGCACCTATGTCCTCTTAGCTCTGCATTGTTTTTTCCCCGGGCAGGAAATACATATTTAGTACAGTAGACAAAAATAAAATAAAAAGAGACAGAAATCCCAGCCCCAGCGCCCGGCAGGACAGATCTCCGGTTGCCTCCAGCGCTGACACAACGTCTGAACTTTTATCAGTCATTCTAAAGGATTACAGAATTTAGTAACCTCCGGAGGTATTAATGTTCAGGCACCTGGAAGTTAATGTAGTAGTGACATCTTTCCACCACGACGCTCTCTTTTTATCCTGTTACCACTGAAAAGGTTATCGTGAGTTTTCCATCTATTATTTAATCCTATTATAGCTCGGAGGATCGAAAAAAGAAAAGAAAAGAAGATACAATGTAACAAAATAGAGATATTAAAGTTACTTTTTACGATTCATAATATAAAACTGGAACCTTGTGCGTTGCTGTATTAAGAAGACAAATACGATCATATTTTAAATGTTGGTCAACCCAAAGGACCCTCGCTAAATCAGGGTTCTTCTAAAGTTCCGGTTGGCAGACAGGCCAAGACGGGACGGCAGTGACCCGCGGGTCTTCTTAGCCGGCGTCGGACCGTACCTTCGGCAGCAAATCGTGCGTGGAAATTTTTGTAGCACGTCCGCAGCAACGCCAAGGCGCTATAGTTTTGAATGCGCTGCTTATTTATTTTTGCTCCCAGCTGAGAGTTGTGCAAGGTTTGGTCGATGGCAGAATCACGAGAGGGTTAAAGATGACAGATACGTCTGGTGAGAGGGTGGGGGCGTGTAGTCACGCCGTGGGGTCCCTCAGTCACAGAAGGACGAGGTGGTGGCTGAAGGAGGAGTGGAAGGCGGGATAAGTCTGTCTGTCCGTCTGCTTGGTTTTTTTTTTGGAAGCCTGTCTGCACTTTCCCTGCTCTGCTCTGCTGCAGTGTACATGCAGATCCATGAGGGGCAGTGCCTGCCC